AGCTGCAGGGATAAATAGAAAGAAAGAAGGGAAAGTGACATCTGCCATTAACATTACTATTTACTACACTGGAAGGGCAGTGAAAGAGTAAACTATGAATCAATTATAAGTTGAAATGTTATTGGAGTTGACTCTTGACTAACTTACAAGATGAAATGTTATTGGGACTGACTTCTGAATAACTAAAAAGATTGAAAACTTGAGGAATTAGATAAGAGATATTAACAATACCAGCTACTCAGCAGGAAGGATATTTGACAGAGCAGAGTTAAGAATATTTATTGGAAAAAGAAAATCCATGTTTACACTTCAGTGAGTTCATACACACACATACTTGCTACAAATTATATACAAAGTGTGTACTTTCTTGCCTTTATGTCTTTGTATATTCATTTCCTGTTACCTAGCAGACTCATTCCATCTACCCCTGAATTTTCCAATCATCTTTAAAATTCAACTCAAATTCCATGATATCCTGTGAAGTCTTTCCTATTTTAGGCACCGTTCTCCTCTTTATTCTCTCATGGATTTTTCAGGCATATTAATTACTTGTTTACATTTCTCTCCCTAAAATAGTTAGCTTCCTGACAGAGAAGCATCATTCATTATTGCATCCCTTCTTCTACAGAACCTGGCATATAGAAGGCATGTATGTAATAAAAGCCTGTTGAATTAATTAGTTAATTTAATAGAGTTTAAGAAGGTGGTTTTTTTAAAACTTTAAAACAATATTTTAAAATGGCAGTATTGATCACTTGAGTTCAAAATGCCTACTTTTGGCTGGGCATGGTGGCTCATGCCTGTAATCTCAGCATTTTGGGAGGCCGAGGCAGGCAGATCATTTGAGGCCAGGAGTTCGAGACCAGCCTGGCCAATATTTACCAAAAATATAAAAATTAGGCGCGGTGGCGCACAGCTATTCAGGAGGCTGAGGTAGGAGAATCGCTTGAAGGAGGCAGAGGTTGCAGTGAGCTGAGATTGTGCCACTGCACTCCAGCCTGGGTGACAGAGAGACTGTCTCAAAAAAAGTAAAAAGCCTACTTTTAAGGGAACTTTTATTTGTTTCGGTTCTGAAATTGAGTTTGAGTTTTGACAAATTCGATCAATTCCCTTATTAGTTTATTGCTGTATCCTTGATCAAGTGGCTTCCTCTCTCAGTATCTCATCTGCTTTTTGCATCTCTAAAACTGAAGTAATAAAAATTAATTTTTATGAAGATTACGAGGATTAAGTGATAGAATCATTAATTTGTTTGCACAGTACTTGGAGGGCACTGAATAAATATTTCCTTCTTCACATACCACTCCAGCTTCTTAAAACATTATCAAATTCATTATTTTATAGACATCCTCAAATGTGATGCACATAAATGAGAAAACAATGAAAAATATCTAGCACTATACTTGGCATACAGTAAGTTCTTAATATCCAGATTTTTTTTCCTTCTTGCTGATTAGTATAGCACTTCCTTTTATTTTGCAGTAATGGCCAATAGTGAGAAAATACGGGCTAAGGAGGGCTGGAGAGTAGATAATAAGAATAAAATAAATGAAAATTGGAAAAAAATAGCCCACAAGTTGCCACTCAACTGTTATAAAATATATGTCAACCATTCTTCTGCGTGCTCTGCATACATCTGTTTTTTAAATCCACAAGACAAGCAGATGAAGTCAATCAAATCTGGACTCAAATTGTTGTTCTACAACTTGAAAATTGTGTAACTGTGGGAAAGTTACTTAGTGACTTTATATCTCTGTTTCTCATCACTAAATGATAATCCACAAAATGTCTGGGTTGTTTTAAGGATTAAGTTCTCACTGTATAAAGTGCCTACAATCTAGCATGACCTAGTGCACAGGGGTTATTGCAGTTATTTAACTCACACACTATCACACATGGGGTCAGTGGTGACACTGACATCTACTGTCCATGCACATCGGGCTTTAGTTGCCACTCCTGTTCCTCCAAGATTTCCAACACCTAGCTAATAAAACATTAACTAATTACTGTGGCATACTTTTCAGGTATAATTAAGGTTATGGACCTTAAGGAAAATTTCCTGGATTACCCTGGTGTGCCCTATATCAATTGAGCCCTTTAAAGCTGAGAAATGTCTCCAGCAAGAATCAGGAGAGAGATGCCACACAAGAGGAAAGCAGAATAGAGACAATGCAGAAGGGGAGGTAGAAGCATAAAAAGAATCAAATTTCCATTGCTAGTGTTAAAGATGGAGGAAGGAGACCACAAACCAGGGAATGTAGGCAGCCTCTAGAAGCTGAGAACCCCCAGGCAACAGCCAATGAGTACATCAAAACCTCAGTCCTGTAACTCCATGCAATTACACTTCAAACAATCCAAGACAACTTGAAAGGAGATTCATCCCTAGAGCCTCCAGAAAAGAATGCACCTTGCCAACACCTTGAATTTGGCCTTGAAAAACCCAGATCAGAGAAACAGCTGAGTCACACTACACCTTGACTTCTGACCTACAAAGCTGTGAAATGACAAATGGGAATTGTATGAAACTGTTAATTGAAGCAGCAATGTTTAATAGCAGTTAAAGCAAATGAATATACACCATACGGAGAAGGTTCAAATGATTATTGAGAACAGGAAATATTTGAATCCACTAAAATTGCAGGAGTAATGTTTGTTTAATTCATAGTGTACCTGTTTTCCATGTATGATGTTTTCAAAATGATGTGCAAATCGCCCTCTTAATGATACTACTAACAATAAGGTCGAAAAATATAATCATATGGTATCCTTTCTTCATTTTTACCAGAGTGTACTAATATAGCAAAAGAAATATCTCTAAATAGATCCATTGTTACATTTAATTTGTAATATGATTTGATATCCCAGCAGATAAATCTGAAAACATCCCAGGGTTTTCAAGAAATAGAAGGGAATTTTTACAGCTATATTTGATGGACATATTCAGTCACATTATTAGGAAGCAGACTTTGGTATCTGCAAACAACAGGCACAGAAATTCTAATGTGTACTGAACAGGAAAAATTAACACAAATGTTCCTGACAGCTGAGACTGAGCTATTAAAAACTGTGGGAATGCTCTCAGCACAGACGCTACCAAAATAGAAAGCAATCTTTAATTGAAGAATGACAACTTGTAAGAAGTTTCTCTGTTTCCCACCCCGCCCTCCTGTGGCCCGATTTTTATTTTGTACTGTACATAGCAATTATTTTATCTCTGATCTTCCTAAGTATTGATTTTAAAGAAATATTCTCCAGGATTTGTTGATAGTTTTCTGCCTTTTGGTTTGGAAAAAAATTTTCATTGATGTTCTTATTCGTTGAGCTACAAAAAAGAGCTTTTTAATTATAACCCCTAAATTCTCAAAAAGCTCAAGTCAGGAAACTAAAGGTACCAAGTCTCTGACTTAAACTGACATTCCTAGAGGCAGTTCAGATATGAAAGTGGAATGTGCCTAGCTCTCATTCATTCATCAATCCAACAAATGGTTATTGAGCGACTACTATATTTTTGAAACTGTATTAGGCACTGGGAACACATGTGTGAACATAGCAGACACAGTTCTTTCATCCTACAGGGGAAGATGTGTGATAAGACAAGTGTAATGAGAGCTACAGAGACATACATGAAGTCAAGACAGAAGCCATGGGTAATACAGGTTGAGTCTACAATTAAAGAAAGAATCAAAATAAAGGTTGATTCCAGAGAGCTGGGTAAAGAAGTAAAAACCTGGGGGAAAGCAAATACCCTAACAGTAGGTGGTGCAAGAAGCTTAGCAAGGAGTTTCCTGGTGAGAGTCCCAGAGGTTCTAGAATTTCTACTCAAGAACATGTTATAAAGTGCTTTAGACCTCTCATCTCGGTGAAGATGGAGCTATCACTGGCATAAGAATGTGTAGAGAAATACCAATAAGCCTGAAAGAGATCATTGCAAATGGCTAAGTGAAGAGAAGTTATTCTCAAATTAATTCAACATCTCTTTTCTGGAGTAATCCTGGGTCCCATCAGAAAAGACACCTTTCTGATCTCCCCATGCCCAGTGGGGCCACTGTGAAAAATTGTTTGTCCCCAAATACTTCCTCTACTTCCTCTCCTTCAGAAAGTGTGCAGTATCCCTAATCATAAAGAAAAGCCTCCAAAAAGGAGTGTTCTAAGCCATGTTTAGCTTATACTAGCAAGGTTTAGTTGAGAGTAATTTGAGAATATAGCCTAAGTTCAGGAAAACAGAAGCTGAGGCAATGAGATGTTAGGTTGGGAGGAAGAAAGAAACTGGATGTCTGGATGAAAATCTTCTTACCTTTTTTTTTTTTTTTTTTTTTTTTTTTTTTTTTTTTGAGACAGAGTTTCACTCTTGTCACCCAGACTGGAGTGCAATGGCACAATCTCGGCTCACTGCAACCTCGGCCTCCTGGGTTCAAGTGATTCTCCTGCCTCAGGCTTCCAAGTAGCTGGAACTACAGGCACACACCACTACATTTTTTTTTTGTATTTTTAGTAGAGATGGGGTTTCACCATGTTGACCAGGCTGGTCTTGAACTCCTGACCTCATGTGATCCACCTGCCTTGGCCTCCCAAAGTGTTGGGATTACAGGCCTGAGCCACCGCACCCAGCCAGATGAAAACGTTCTTAATCTCTTCCCAATTCTTCCTAGGCTGACCACAGGGTCAGTGAAGGATAGAATGTGTGAGGATCATGTTCACTAGTAATAAAGCAAAGAACCACTTGTATCAGAAACCTTCCACCACCTCCCCTCATGGGAGTACAGTGAAGCAGGTGTAACTACCATCCAACACATCTAATTGCAGCATTTCTGAGTCCACCAAAAGAGACATTGTGGTGGACTGAGTCTGTGGAAGAAAGTGGTGGGGATTCTTTGCAACTATTTTTAGACTTAAAGCAAATTTCTGGTAAAGGATGACAATCTAAATGTAATTCAGAAGGTCTCCAAGATTATCCTTGGTTCAATGATTGACTAGGAGGAATTACAGAACTCAGAAAGTCATTATGTTCACCAACAGTTTATTACAATGAAAGGATACACGTTAAAATCAACAAAGGGAAGAGTTGCCTAGAGCAGGGTTCAGGAGAGACCAAGTGTGGTGCTTGGTGGTGCTTCCACTTGTCCTTTCCCAATAAAGTCATGCTGAAGTCATCCTCACAGCGCTAATAAGAATTCTAGACAGAAGTATAGGTAAAATTAAGCATTAATCAGGCTGCACTTTGACCCACTTCCTTGTAACCAAAAGTCACTAGATAACATTTGCATCTCTACCGTTCCACTAGATAGGATTTCTGATGTTAGAATCATAAGGCTTTTGTTTAAGAATTGCTTAAGATGTTTTTCAGATCCTGAATTCCAACAAAACAGGTGAAACCAACCAGTTTGAAGACCCCCACAGAAGAACAGAATTAGCGTAAGAATACAGTTTCTTCTGCTCTCTGCCCTATCACTTCACCCTGTATTCTCCACATGTCAGCCCACTCCAAAACCCTTAATACCTCTAGTCCCAAACTCTTCAGGGAGATGGATTTGAGATTTCTTCCGATCCCCTCATTCAGCAGGTCTACAATTAAACTTTAAACCCCTTCCTCTGATGCAACCCTGTGTCTCACTGTATTGACTTGCTGGGTATTGAGCAATGGACTTATTATGGTTACAATGCAGATAGCAATGATTTCTCTTAACAGTACTGTGTGACAGCATGCATGGAGTACTGCCAAACAGGGAAACTCACCCAAATCTTGGTGTTCAGAGTTTTATTACTGCTTGGCCACATAAACTTTGCTGACCACCTGCCTGGCTGACCTGTCTCCAGCCCCTCAAGTATCAGGTTAATACTGCATGGCCCAAGTTCTCTACCACAAATCATCAAGTACCTGGAATGGCCCAAGTCCCCCTGGTAAACAGACACTTTCATCAAGCAGGACATTCCAGAGGCTTAAAGGTTATCTCCCAAAAGCTAGTTAAAGGCCGAATGATTCTTGGGCAAGGTTAATTTTTTACTGTATGCTGAGCAAGTGAATTCCCTGGATTCACAAACTCTGTAATCTTTTTCTTTCATTTTAATAAACTTAAGCTTGTTTATAGCATTAAGTAACTTAATGAGTCTTAAAGCTTTAAGTATTTTTAAAGGACATTCTGTTACTTTTAATCTCAATTAAAATGTAATTAACACATTTTCTTCCAAATGTAAAAGTATCACATGACTTTCCAAAGACTTTCACAAATTCATAGGACTGAGATCTGGTCATAAACCACATAGGCTTTATTCTGGAAAGATCTTGGTAGGCCCAGTCTTTGGTCACATTTTCTAAGTGACCAATGCCTTCAAATTTTTTATGATAAACCAGTAGACCAAAGGAAAACCTGGAAAGGGAAACCGAAGGCTCTGTTGAATGCCTTGTTAAAGGGAAGCTACTACAGAGTGAACCATACACATGTCTTCCAAAATCATAATGTTGATGGTCAAGCAGAACATGGAAACAGCAGTTTCAGCCCAACCTCACATGTATCAAAATCAAGAGAGAGTGTTTGCCTTATAAGTTATCCTCAGAGGGAAAAACAGAGCTATAAACATTAGCAGGCTTAGTACATATCTATATTATTAAGCTCTTCAAGAAACTGAAAAAATGACTAGTGACTATATTTTTAAACCAAATCAAAGGGAGCCCTCAAGTTTAGGACAAACTGTTGCTTAAATGCCTGTCTTCTCAGCCACCGCCCCCATACATATGCTGAACACATTATACCATCAACAGAGAATTTTAAAATATAAAAAGCTACATTGATTTTGTATAATGAACATCAAGAAGTCCAAATTTAAAATGGAACTTCCCTAAAAAAAAGGGCATGTCATTTTAAAGACATTTCATTTTTTTTTAAAAAAAGGACAAGAGCAGTACATAAAATTTCCCAAAAATGGAAAATATGAAAAAAGTGAAAGTATTATAGACTAGATATTAAAACTCAGCAATTCTAACATATACTAGGACATCAGAACAAACTACCAGTCAATTTTAAGTTTCCAAAAGATGATTATGATTTGGGTAATAGCTGAAATCATAACTGTGTATGTTTTCAAAAAATAAGTCCCTTTAACATTTTTTATGAAGGACTATTATGACCAGATCAAACTAATTCTCTTAAGTACCAAAATGTGGTGATTTTTAGATAAGAAGAAATAACAGAACTGACATATCTTGCCTCAGTCAATTTTTTTGTTTAACTATTGCCCATATAACCGTCCAATGACAATTTGGGAAACAGGGTTTAGCTCATAACACCAACGCATTGGGATACAGTGGTGGGGAGAATTACTCCAAAAGTGGTTTTCTGTAGTTGATTGCTGACTTGAAATGGGGATTTCGAGTTGATCCTACTGGAGTGTTTCCATCTTCCTTTGGAAAAAGGAACACTTGCTATAGTAACTGTGCCCTTGTGGCGTACACTGCCAGCGGCGTGATCAATATCACATCCCCACGTCTTCTCAGTTTCTTTTGGGATGGTACTTTGCCCACTTTGCAACTTCCCTTGTAACTAGTGGCAGCCATTTAACCCAGTTCTCCTGGCCAAGCAGATGTAAGGGGAGGTCTTAAAAGCTTCCCAGAATATCTTTTGCATTCTTGGTAAAATGAATAATGTGCCTAGTATCACCCCTCTTTACTAATTCTTCCTGCTTTGAACACTAAAATGATTCCTGGAGTTGCTGAAGCCATCTTGAGAATATGATGTGATAGGAATGAAAATGAAAACAGAGATGATAAAACAGGATATGATAAAGCTGGTACCTTGTATGGTTCATATTAGTGAGGCCATTTATCAGATGAATATGCTGCTGTAACCAACAAACTCAAAACCCCAGTGGCCAATGAAGGCTGTGTTCCATTAGACTGTCACGTGATATATCACCAATTACCATGGCAGAGGGAAGGGGACTTGGCAGAAACACTAACTCTTCAAGGCTTTTCTGCCCAGAAATGCCACATGTGCTCACATTCCATTGGCCAGAGCAACTATAGCTACACCTAACTTTAAGGAAGAACAAAGCATAAATCTATCATACAGAATTGTACTATTCTATCGTTCATCCAAGAAGGAAGGAAACCAAAACACTGATTAACAACTTTGATGAACAATTCAACTTTTTCTTATATGAGAGAAAAATAAACTACTGTTTAGCCACTTAGAGTTGAATTTTCTATCACTTCTAACCAAAATTGTTCTTAACCAGCAAAGTAGAATTACTCTAAAATTGCATATGTAAAATTACATAGAGAAATAGGATTATAGTTCTACTCAGCAATATTCTGGATTCTTTTTAATTTTATAATTGGTCTTCCAAATTCTCCCTCCTTAAAGATAATGGATTCATTGCAAGATTCACAAACTGATTTATTTTGACCCAAGGTTGGAAATCAAAACAGAAATCAAAGGAGCTTGGCCTGTAGCTCTGTGCCTCAACAAAAATACCCTGCAAATCAACCCTCCTGGAAAGATCAGCAACCAATAATTAATTTAATCATTACAGTTGGAAAAGGCTATTACTGTGTCATTCTCTTTCAAGGCATATTTTGGTTACTAAGAATAATACTACCAGTCTAGAGAGTATAAAATGTGTCCAAAATTGTCCTAAGCATTTCATACACTATTAGGTTACTTAAACCTCACAAGGACTGTTATTCACATAAAATACATGAAGAAATTGAGGTTTATTAAGATTAAGTGACTTACTCAAGGTCACTGAGCTAATGAATAGTACATTCATGATTGAATCGCAAATCTAACTATACAGCTCAAGCACCTGTAAATTGTCCTATTTCTACATTCTGAAAAGATTTTCCAAGTCACCAATGCCTTTTTAAAGCATCGGATCTTCCTTGCACTGTCTCAAACTCATATTTTAATTCACCCTTTAAATTCTTGTTTCCTCACTCCAATTTCTGTACTCTTAAACCTATACTCTACTACTTCTCTCGTACTTACTGAAATAAAATTAACTTTACAGTGAAAAACATCTAAGCTATTCAGTGTAAGAGGAGGGAACGATCTGAAAGGCAGAGTAAATCACAAGTCGAACATAAGCAAACAATATAGGGATGTCATCTTAAGACTTAGATGTAAAGGATTAGAAAATATTCAGGCAATGAATAATAGTTCAGAAAAACCACTACTCTGTATCCTGTGTAGTCCTCTTATTCTAGTATCACTTATTGAAACACCCTTGTAGACCTGCATTCATTCATCCATCTTATAACATTTATTATCAATCATGTATTTAGTAATTGTAATATGTGAGGGGCACTGTCCACAAAAATATGAAGACATGGTGCCCTCCCTCAAGAAGAGTTACATCCTGTAAGGAAAACACATTCAAATGGTGATATGTATTGTAAAGGCAGCATCTTCAATGGCACAGGGTGGGAAAGGTTCAAGTCCCAGGGAAATCCTTATAGTAGCCAGAGGCAATTTTATGAAATGCAAATCATGTCATATTTCTTCTCTTCTTAAATCCCTTCAATGATATTTCAATGAAATTTTACTAAAACCCAAACTTTTTACCTTGACTTAAAGGGATCTACAAATTCTGGTCCTACCTATATTTCTTATTCTCTTCACTCTCTCTTCTATTCACTAGACTTTAACCATATAGGCTTCGCCCTCCCTTTAGAACACACAAAACTGATTTGCAGCTCTAGATTTTTTACACTTTTATTATCTTCACCTGCAGCGTACTGTCCCCAGATTCTTGTTTAGGTTTTTCACTTTCACCCTTTAAACTGCAGGTCAAATATAATTTCCAGGGAGAGGATTTCACTCAGCCCTTCCTCTACTCATCTTACTGCCTTGCTTTATGATCTTTATTACCCTTACCACCAACTGAAATAGTCACATTCATATCTTTACATGTTTGTTATTTGCCTCTCCCAAGTCAAATACAACCTGCATGAGGCGTGGAAACTTCTTTGCATCCTCAATGTCTAAAAGGTTACCTGATGCATAATCTCGCTCAACAAACTTTTAATGAAGAAATTAATTAATAAGCAAGCTAGTGGCCTCTATACATTTGGTCTGGACATGGAAAAAGAATGATGAAATATCAGATTGGACAGAAATTCAAGTCACATAATGTAAGAAGCATTTTTATGCCACATAATCTTGACAATTCTTGGGTACTACTTCAAATCCTAATAGCCCCACCTCTCACTCCAGCCACTACTGTGGAAATCATTTCCATGCATACTTTGGACAGGAGCATTCTTACAGGATGTTGCCTTTCAATATCCCATACTTCTTACTTCCTGTTCAGGACATTCTCTGATAATATGCTAGAGACATCTGTAGGATCACACATGGCAATTATATGTGTACAACCCAGAGGGGTAGGACCATTGAAACCTACAGAGCTCCCCTTCACCAGGAAGGAAAAGGAACTGAAGGACAAATACTTCCCTTTTTAGCCTCCAGCAGGGAGTTCTTCAATACAGAACCTAAGATTCCTCAAAAGGTTCCTGCTCCCTGGATCACTTCCCAAATAAACCATGTGCATGAAGATCTTGGTCTTAAGCTCTGCTTTCCTAAGACAGC